CTGAGGGTTCTGGAGCTGTTGGAGGTGCTGGAGCTGCTGAGGGTACTGGAGCTACTGGTGCTGGTGGCACTGCACAGCCGTGCCTGTTCTTCGCTCCACCATCTCCGTCGTCTCAGCCACCGCCAGACTCTGTGCTTCGCCAGGTTCTTAGTTTCCCTTCATCTACTGGTCTTCCGTTACAGCCTGGCTCGCCGCTGCCTGCTCCTTCTCCTTAAATTGAGTAGACAGGGGGTCTTACTTAGCGTCGTGAGCCTGCGTCGAGTCCTGTCTCGCCTGTCCGTTCTAGTAGTTTCGGTCGTCGTGTTCCTCGTCCGCGTCAGCCGGCTGTCCCTGGCACCCACCTCGTAGTCCGTCGTCCTTCCTCTCCTCCGCAGCGTGTTCCTCTGCCGTGTCCTTCTGCGTCTTCTCTGCCTGACGTTCTAGAGCCTGAGTCTGACCGCGCTCGTGCTGCTCACCCTACTATCACGCGTCTTCTAGCCACGATTGTCACTGACCCGTCGTTTGAGTCTGCTGCTGCGCCTGCCTTAGTCATTGAGCTTGTTGACTTTGCTGCTGCCTGTCGTCTAGACTACGCCGCTAATCTTGTTGCTGAGTCTGAGTTTGTCTTTCCTCCGTTAGTCGGGGGTGAGTGTGCTCTTGGCACGGACGTCCTTGAGGACAGGCACGAGGACCTTGAGTGTCTTGCAGCCGCTGCGCCTCATCTCGTGTCCATACTGCTTGCCCCTAAGGGAGACCCGGATGCTCCAGACATCCCGACCCCGCGCTCTTAAGCTGAGGTGATCGCGGGTGAGTACTCCTCTCAGTGGCAGACAGCCATGGATGTAGAGATGGCATCCTGGAAGTCCACAGACATTTACGTTGACGAGGTTCCCCCTCCTGGGGTGAACATCGTCGATGACATGTGGATTTTTAGGGTGAAGCGGCCGCCAGGTTCTTCGTCTGTCTTCAGGGCTCGTTACATTGCTCGAGGTTTCAGTCAGCGAGAGGGAGTAGACTTCTTCCAGACCTTCTCCCCCACCACTCTTCGGGTGTTGCTGCATGTTGCCGCTCAGTGTGACAACGAGCTTCACTCTCTTGACTTCAGCACAGCTTTCTTACAAGGCAGCCTGCACGAGGAGATCTGGCTGCGCCGCCCTCCTGGCTTCACTGGGTCGTTCCCTCTTGGTACCCAGTGGAGCCTCCGGCGGCCAGTCTACGGTCTTCGCCAGGCGCCACGTGAGTGGCACGACACACATTGAGGTTGACACTTGCTGCTCTTGGCTTTACTGCGTCAGCTGCTGACCCGTCGCTGTTTCTGCGCACCGACACTTCGCTGCCGCCTATCTACATCCTCGTGTACGTTGACGAATTGGTCTTTGCCATTGCTGACACTAAGGGTCTCGCCCTGGTGAAGTCGGAGCTGCAGAAGAGACACACGTGCACAGACCGGGGTGAGCTGCGCAGTTACCTTGGCTTGCAGATCACCCGGGACAGAGCACGCCGCACCATCACATTGACTCAGTCACAGTGACTGATGGCACGCCGCACCATCACACTGCTTTTGCGGTGGCTAACTTCACAACATCATTGTCCTCTAATAATGGCACGGCATGTGCGATAGTTACCCTGAACTCTGATTGTTTGTTTTGACCCTGTCGGTTTTAGGGTTTTCTTACACAATCCATACCATTCTCCAATTCTAGGCATCCTTGTACACAATCTCCCTTCCGTATAATTCATTAAGGAAGCTGCATTGTTGGAACAGTTTGGTAGGTTGATCCATTAGCATCTATGAGGCGAACGCATGCACCAAAACAATGCCGTCAACAGGGCCTGTGTCAGAACATTATAGCTTATGCTATTGTGTAGGCTATAGTGGGGTATCCCATAGGGGGTACAACCCAACTAGGGTTTCATATTTGTACTCGCTTCATTCATAGTTCACACTCATTCTCGTTCTAATCTTCTCATGGTATCGAGCAGGTTCCCCCTTGGGAACTGTGCTTAGGGCCCACCACATCGAGTTTTTTTTTTTTTTTTTTCCTGCCCGAAGCGCGCTCAGCCCGAGTTGCGCTCCGGGCCCTCACTTCGTCGAGCCGCCCTAGCGGCCCTTCAATGCGGCCCCGCCGCCTGTCTCAGCGGCCTCGCCGCCCTTTTCTGCGGCCCCGCCGCCTCTCTCGTTGCGGCCCCGCCGCCCTTCACGGCGGCCTCGCCACCCGTCTCAGCGGCCCAGCCGCCCGTCTTCGCGGCCCCGCCGCCTCTCTCGCTGCGGCCCCGCCGCCTCTCACTGCGGCCCCGCCGCCCGTCTCAGCGGCCCCGCCGACCTTCTTCGCGGCCCCGCCGCCTCTCTCGCTGCGGCCCTGCCGCCTCTCACTTCGGCCCCGCCGCCCGTCTCAGCGGCCCCGCCGCCCGTCTTCGCGGCCCCGCCGCCTCTCACTTCGGCCCTGCCGCCCGTCTCTGCGGCCCCGCCGCCCGTCTCCGCGGCCCCGCCGCCTCTCTAGCTGCGGCCCCGCCGCCTCTCACTGCGGCCCCACCGCCCGTCTCTGCGGCCCCGCCGCCCCTCTCGCTGCGGCCCCGAGCCCTACCAGCGGCCCTACGGCCCTACACCGCCCGCGCCACCCGAGCTGCCCGACCCGCCCGAGCCGCCCGAGCCGCCCGAGCTGCCCGACCTGCCCGAGCCGCCCAAGCCGCCCGAGCCGCCCGAGTCGCCCGAGCCCCCTGAGCCGCTGAGGAGCCGAGCCGCCCGACCCGCCCGAGCCGCCCGAGCCGCCTGAGCCGCTGTGGAGCCGAGCCGCCCGAGCCGCCCGAACCGCAGTTGCTGCTGAGCCGTCCGAGCAGCCGCGTTGCTGTGCTGCTGAGCTGCCTGACCCGCCCTGTCTGGTGAGAGCAGCGCTCCTGTCACTGCACTGCCCCTGTCCTACAGGTAGTACTGCTAGGCTACTGTCTTTATGGCTACCCCTAGTGTCCTCGCTTTTGACGCTGAGGGTCGGGCCATTGACTTTGAGGTCTGGGTAGACGACCTGCAGCTGTTCTTACAGTGCGATAGGGCAGACGGCCTCTCTCTCTTTGACCTTACCTCTGGCGCTTCCCCTGCCTCTGCTGCTGATGCTGACGCCACTGTTTGCTCCCAGTGGGCCACGCGCGACGCTGCTGCACATCTTGCTGTGCGTCGCCACCTCCCTACCTCCGAGCGTGCGCACTTTAGTCAGTACAAGAGTGCTCAGACCTTGTATGACGCTGTAGTCGCGCGCTACTCCTCCCCTGCCACTGCTGCACTGAGCCGTCTCATGCTACCGTACCTCTTCCCTGACCTTGCTGCCTTTCCCACCGTGGCTGACCTCATTACGCACCTCCGCACTAGTGACACTCGCTACCGCGCTGCACTCCCTGCTGACTTCTGCGCCAAGAACCCCCCCCCCCATTGACATCACTCTGTACTTCCTAGTCACTCGCCTTCCTGACTCCCTTCGTGTAGTCAGGGACCACTTTCTCTCAGTCTGTCCCACCACACTCGCTGTCGATCTCCTCGAGAAGGCCCTCTTAGCAGCGGAGAAGAGTATAGTCGCTGTAGGAGCCTCTCGAGGTGACCCGCGCATCCCCATCTTTGAGGGGTGTTCCCCCTCCCCCCTGCTGCCCTCTGTTGCCTTTGCTGCTACGGCCGACCTCCTTGGTCTTGAGTCGGTCGGTGCGGCGTCTGCCCCTAGCGGGAGACGCCGCCCTGGCAAGGGCAAGGGGGGCAAGGGAGCTGGAGGAGCGGGCGGTGGAGGTGGAGGTGGAGGTGGAGGCGGTGGGGGTAGTGGGGGTGGCGGTGGGAGTGGAGGTGCAGGTGGGGGGGTTGGTGGCGGCGGTGGAGGCGGAGGCGGCGGCGGCGGTGGCGGTGGGAGCGGAGGTGGCGGAGGAGGCGGCGGTGGAGGCGGCAGTGGAGGCGGCGGTGGAGGCGGCGGCAGTAGCGGAGGCGGCGGAGGCGGTGGGGGTGGCGGTGGAGCTGGTCGCGGGCCTTCGCAGAGGAGTGGCTCCGGTAGTGGCGCGCGCCAGCAGCAGCAGCGCGGTCGTGAGACCCTGTCCCCTCAGCAGCTCCGTGAGTGGTACACTGCACGCCAGCGGGGTGGGGGTTTTGGTCCGTGCACCTACGTCCTGCGCACCGGCGACCGTGCGGGTGAGCAGTGTGGGGGTCCGCACCCCACCCAGCGCTGCTTTGGCCGCCTGACGGACGCGTGGCGTCACCAGATCCCGAAGGCCTCAGAGATTCCTCGCTGGGGCGAGCTGTCTAGGGCGGGTGTTGCCATCTTTGATCTTGACTTTGATGCTATTCTCTCTGCCATGTATGTTGTGTCTCATAGTGATGAGGGTGACTGCTACCGCTGTTTCCCGCCCGATCCGGGCATTGAGGCTGCTGCTCTAGGTGCTTGGGACGCTGCTGCTCTAGGTGCTAGTGTGTCTGCGTCCTCAAGTACTGGTGAGTCTGCGCTCTCAGGTACTACGTCGGCTTCGGCCTCCCTCACCTTCACTCTTGACTCTGGGGCGTCTCGCTCCTTCTTTCGGGACCGCACCACACTCACGCCGCTTGGTCGGCCGGTTGCGTGTCTCTGGCTGACCCCTCCGAGGAACCTGTACTGTCTCGCTTCTCCACAGTCCTCCCGTGTCCGGCGGCTCCCTCTAGCACCCTATCTGGTCTCTACCTCCCCTCGTTCTCGACGAACCTGGTGAGTGGTGTTGACCTACAGGATGGGGGAGTACACCAGTTCACTCCTGCGCTTCAGCGGGTGACGCACTGTACAGAGGCTAGCACAGGCCGGCACCTGGCTACGTTTACCTGTCAGCCGTGGTCGAGCCTGTACACACTGACCACTGCGTCTCCTCCCGTTACTGAGTCTGGTAGAGTCGCTTCGTCCGGTCAGGTGTTTGCTGCAGCGTCTAGGTCTGGTCCTGAGTCTGCCCCCTGTTCGTGTCGTCTCTTGTCTCATGAGACTCTCCTCTGGCACCACCGTCTTGGTCACCCCTCTCTGCTTCGGCTCAGAGGCATGGCCTCCCGTCTTCTTGTGTCTGGTCTCCCCCGGTCCCTCCCTCCCCTTCCTCAGGGCCCTGGCCCTGCCTGTGTCCCCTGTGTCGAGGGGCGCCAGCGGGCTGCCCCTCACTCCTCCCAGTTTCCTCCGACAGAGGCCCCGTTGCAGACGCTTCACATGGACGTGTGGGGCCCGGCCCGCGTCCGTGGACAGGGTCACGAGCGCTACTTCCTGCTGGTGGTTGACGACTACTCGCGTTACACCACGGTCTTCCCCTTGCGCAGCAAGGGTGATGTCACTGAGGTGTTGATCGACTGGATCCGCGCGGCTCGTCTCCAGCTCAGGCGGAGCTTTGGCTCGGACTTCCCTGTTTTGCGTCTGCACTCGGACAGAGGCGGAGAGTTTTCCTCTGGCCTACTGCGAGCCTACTGTCGCGCACGAGGCATCCGTCAGACCTTCACGCTTCCGGACTCACCGCAGCAAAATGGGATTGCTGAGCGCCGCATTGGCATGGTCATGGACGTCGCTCGTACGTCTATGATGCATGCGGCTGCCCCCCATTTTCTGTGGCCGTTTGCGGTCAGGTACGCGGCGCATCAGATCAACCTCCACCCGAGGGTCTCCAGGCCGGAGACCTCCCCAGCCTTACTGTGGACGGGGAAGGTTGGCGATGCGTCGGCGTTCCGGGTCTGGGGATCTCGGGCGTTTGTCCGCGACTTGTCTGCAGACAAGCTGTCCCCTCGTGCTGCTCCTTGCGTCTTCCTGGGGTTCCCCCCTGACGCGCCTGGGTGGCAATTCTACCACCCCACCTCTCGACGTGTTTTGTCCTCCCAGGACGTCACGTTTGACGAGTCAGTCCCCTACTACCGCCTCTTCCCCTACCGCACTCCGTCCCTCCCCCCACCCCCGCTCTTCCTTGTACCAGGTCCCCCCCAGGTAGACTCCCTCCCCCCTCAGGGTCCTGCCCCTTCAGGTGTGTCCCAGGTAGACGCAGTCGAGCCTGTCGAGGTCACTGGTGACTCTGGTGCTGCTGGGGGTGCTGAGCCTGGGGGTGCTGGACCTGGGGGTGCGGAGTCTGGGGGTGCTGAGCCTGGGGGTACTGCGTCTGGGGGTGCTGAGCCTAGGGGTACTGAGCCTGGGGCTGCTGAGCCTGGGGGTGCTAAGCTTGGGGGTGCTACGCCTGGGGGTGCTGAGCCTGGGGGTGCTGAGCTTCGGGGTGCTACGCCTGAGGGTGCTGAGCCTGGAGGTGCTACGCTTGGGGGTGCTGAGCGTGGAGGTGCTACGCCTGGGGGTGCTAGGAGTGGAGGTGCTCTGCCTGGAGATTCTTCGGGTGCTTCTTCTCGCCGGGAGCCACTCTCTCCACAGGAGCTGCGCGAGTGGTTTGCCCAGCGATGGCGCCGTACTGCTGGTGCTGGAGGTTCTTCGGCTGCTGAGGGTGCTGCGGTCGCGGGTCCCGGAGGTGCTCGTGCTGGGAGTACTGGAGCTGCTGGGCCTACGGGTTCGACTGGAGCTGATGCTGCTGAGGGTGTTGGCGCTGAGACTACCGCTGGCGGTCCTACTGGGGGTGCTCCTGGTGCTGCTGGAGGTGCTGCTGGAGCGGGTGCTCCTGCTGAGGGTACTGGTGCTGTCCCTGCTGCTTCTGGCGTCGTCACGCGGCCTCGACCGTACTTTGTTCCACTCCTGCAGCAGGTTCTTGGTCTTCCTCCTTCTACTGGTCCTTCTCCTCCCTTAGAGTGTCCACAGCCTGTCCCGTCACAGTCAAAGCTATAGCCTGCCTCCCCTCTGCCTGCTCCTTCTCCCTATGCTGGTCCTACTGGAGGTCTTACTGAGCGTCGTGAGCCTGCGTCTCGTCCTACGTCGCCTGTTAGAGCTGCTCGCGCTAGTGGTCGCAGTTCGCGCCACCGTCCTCCTCCTGTCCCTGGCACGCACCGGATGTCTCTGCGTCCGTCTACTGCTCCTCTGCGTGCCCCTTTGCCTTCCCCTCCTGAGTCCTCTTTTCCTGCACTTGCCGACCCTGAGTCGGACTCTCTTCGTGCTGCCAGTCCTACTGTCACGCGTCTCCTTCCTACTGTTGTCACTGACCCTTCTTTCGAGTCTACTGCTGCGTCTGCTCTCGTTACTGAGCTCGTCGACTTTGCTGCTCGCTGTCGCTTAGACTACGCTGCTAGTTTTGTCGCTGAGTCTGAGTCTGACTGTCCTCCGTCCGTCGGGGGTGAGTGTGCCCTTGGTACGGACGTCCTTGAGGACAGGCAGGAGGAGTTCCAGTGTCTGGCAACTGCTTCACCTCATCTCGTGTCCGTACGGCTTACCCCTGAGGGAGACCCGGATGCACTTGACATCCCGACTCCGCGCTCTTACGCGGAGGCAATAGAGGGTCCCTACTCCTCTCAGTGGCAGGCAGCTATGGATGCAGAGATGGCTTCCTGGAAGTCCACAGGCACCTACGTTGACGCTGTCCCCCCTCCTGGGGCGAACATTGTCAGTGGCATGTGGATCTTCAGGGTGAAGCGGCCGCCGCGTTCTCCGCCTGTCTTCAAGGCGCGTTACGTGGCTCGTGGCTTCAGTCAGCGGTAGGGAGTTGACTACTTTCAGACCTTCTCCCCCACTCTGAAGATGACCACTCTTCGGGTACTGCTACACATTGCTGCTGACCGTGACTACGAGCTCCACTCTCTCGACTTCAGCATAGCTTTCTTGCAGGGTAGCCTGCACGAGGAGATCTGGCTGCGCCGCCCACCTGGCTTCACTGGGTCTTTCCCTCCTGGTACCCAGTGGAGTCTCCGGCGTCCATTCTATGGTCTCCGCCAGGCGCCACGTGAGTGGCACGACACACTAAGGACTACGCTTGCGGCTCTTGGGTTTGCTCCTTCTACTGCCGACCCGTCGTTGTTTCTGCGCACCGACACCTCTCTGCCGCCGTTCTACATCCTCGTGTACGTCGACGACTTGGTCTTTGCCACAGCTGACACTGCTCGACTCGCGTGCGTGAAGTCCGAGCTGCAAAAGCAACACACGTGCACAGACCTGGGTGAACTCCGCAGGTACCTTGGCTTGCAGATCACCCGGGACAAAGCACGCCGCACTTTTACCCTAACTCAGTCACACATGGTGCAGCAGGTCCTTCAGCGCTTCGGCTTCACGTACTCCTCGCCTCAGGCCACTCCTCTGCCTACTCGCCACTCACTCTCAGCTCTGCCTTCGGATGAGTCCGTAGAGTCGAGTGGCCCGTATCCAGAGCTTGTTGGCTGCCTCATGTACCTGATGACCTGCACACGACCTGACCTTGCATACCCTCTTAGCATTCTCGCACGCTATGTTGCTCCTGGGAGACACCGACCAGAGCACATGGCTGCAGCAAAGAGGGTGTTGCGCTACTTGTGCAGTACGTCGGGCATGGGGCTAGTGCTTGGAGGGCGCAGTCCAGTGGTCCTCACTGGGCACGCAGACGCTTCTTGGGCTGACGACCAGGCTACGCAGCGGTCGTCACAGGGTTACATCTTCAGTCTTGGTTCCGGCTCTGTTTCGTGGCGAGCTACCCGCTCGTCTTCTGTTCTTGGCTCCAGTTGTGAGGCTGAGATCTACGCGGGGGCTATGGCTGCCCAGGAGCTTCGCTGGCTCACCTACCTGCTGACCGACCTTGGAGGGCCGCCTCGTTCTCCTCCAGTCCTGTACGTAGACAACTAGGCCATGCTGGCCTTGTGTCGAGAGCAGCGACTGGAGCACAGGACAAAGCACATTGCTCTCTGTTACTTTCTACTCGTGAGCTACAGCAGCGTGGACAGTTGCGGCTTGCGTACGTGGCCTCTGAGGCCAACACTGCTGATGTTTTCACCAAATCACTTGCGCCTTGTGATCATCAGCGCTTCTGCACTCAGCTGGGTCTTGTGCCTGTCTTGCCTCACTTGCTCACTTCTTGACCTTGCTTGTACTGTCACATATATATACTCCTGCTCTTGCTTGCTTAGCCTCGTATATATATATATGTGCTCTTGCATGTGAACTGGCCTTTTGACTTTTGAACTTGTGCTCGGAATGTGTGGTGACTTTGTGATCCACCCTGAGCTTTGTTTTGCTTTGCTTGACTGGTCTTGTGACCCCTTGTTCTCCCCCACTTTGCCTATGGGGGTGTGTCAGAACATTATAGCTTATGCTATTGTGTAGGCTATAGTGGGGTATCCCATAGGGGGTACAACCCAACTAGGGTTTCATATTTGTACTCGCTTCATTCATAGTTCACACTCATTCTCGTTCTAATCTTCTCATACTCGTTTTGACCCTGTCGGTTTTAGGGTTTGCTTACACAATCCATACCATTCTCCAATTCTAGGCATCCTTGTACACAATCTCCCTTCCGTATAATTCATTAAGGAAGCTGCATTGTTGGAACAGTTTGGTAGGTTGATCCATTAGCATCTATGAGGCGAACGCATGCACCAAAACAATGCCATCAACAGGGCCTGTATACAGGAGTGGGTGAAAAGGAAGCATAGGACTGGAGAAATCAGGTATTGTGGGAGGCGGGATCGTAGTGGAGCAATAAGAGTTGGCAAGAGCATGCGATATCAGAGTGGGTGTGTTGGGAACCCGAATTTGTGGGGAATGAGATGTGAGATGCAGGGTGAGTTTGGAGTAGGTACGGCGTGGTCACGGAATGAGATAGGTGAGGGGATAATGGTTAGGAGAATAAAGTGGAAGAATGGGGTGGTGGCACTGAGCATGTCAATGGGTAAGTTTATGTGAAACTATTGAGTTCGATGGAAGCAGAGAAAGTTTGATTTGACAAGATGGAAGAAATGATTGCGGAGAGCTCATGAGCGGGAACGGACTTGGGAGTTGTGGATGGAACAGAGTGACGAGCGTAAGAGGGTAGAGGGGTGGGGAGTGCGATGAAACAAGCAGCGACAACAGCGCACGTAAGGCAGCAAGTTGGTGCGATATGATTGCCCCCTTCCACCTGTTGGGCTGAGATAGCCCCTTAGGATCTTTGCAAGGGATAACTCTAGGTGAAGTAGTTGTAACAGCGGAAGCGTTTAGTGAAGAATTTGAACCGACCTTGCACTGGTGTGTGAGAGCAAAGTTGATTGAATTAAACAAGCAAATACAAGGATTTATATAAGAGTACAAGGAATAGATAGATAACTGTATTGCTGTTGCGGTTCGATATAGCGCGACTCGGGCAACTGCTCTGTAACGAGTCAGTTGTGTGTCCTTAACTGTCGCGCTGTAATTGTCGAGTCAAAGGTCAGCGACCTTTGACTTTCTCGTAACCTCCAGGCGGTTACCCTAACCTCCGAGGTTGACTCGATGCTTCGATTGGGACTGCTTCGCTTGGTACCTTGGATTTTGATACGACAGAAGCGCACTTAGGACTTATTGTTTCCAACACTCCCCTTCGCTTCTGGAGTGTTACTGCTGGTGACGTGGCCTTGTCCAGTCAGCATCATGCAGTATTCGAACTTCTGCTTGCCGAGTTTCTTGGTCAAGTAATCGGCTGCCATCTCGGATGTTGGACAGTATGACAGATCGAGTTTCCCTTTTTCTATCTCGTCCTTCACGAAGAAATAGCGCAGGGCGATGTGTTTCGTCCTGTTTGCGAAGCCGTTTTTGTTGGCGATGCGAATCGCTGACTGGTTGTCGCAGAACACGGTGAAGCTGGGTAACTCGGCTAGCTTCGCTTCTTCCAGTAGTTCGCGAAGGTAAAGTCCCTCCTTGGTGGCTGAGCAGAGTGCAATATATTCTGCTTCTGCTGAAGATAGTGCGATTAACTCCTGCTTGCTCGACTGCCAGGAGATAGGACCGATAGGCTCAAGGCGGTAGACATAGCCGGTGCGTGAGCGCCTGTTGTCGGTGTCGCCGGCGTGATCGGCGTCGACGTAGCCGATTAGCTTAGTCGGTGTAGCTGCGCTCTTGTGGTAGGTTAGCCCGATCGTCGCGGTGCTGACGAAGTAGTGGAGAGCGCGATCAAGTTCCGCCAGGTGTTCAGCTTCAGGCTTCTTGAGATAGGTGGCGAGCTGACTTGCGGAGTAGGATAAGTCAGGACGGCAGGTGACGGCGGCGAATAGCAGGCATCCGAGCTTCTTCTGATAGTCGCGTATGCCGGCGGGCTTGAGTAGAGTAGTTCGTTCCTTCTCGGTTCCTGATGTGTAGCGGTAGGGCGTGGAGATGGCGCTTGGTGTGAGGCTGAAGCGTTTCGCGATGGTGTCGGCGTATTTCTCGGCGCTTAGATAGATGGCGTTTTCTTCTTCGCGGATGTTGAGCCCGAGGTACTGTGTAACGGTGGAGGAGACCGTGAGCGTGAGGTCTTTCTGGAGCTCTCCTTCGAACCACGTGGCGATGCCGTCGGTTGACCCAATGTAGAGGAGATCGTCCACGTAGACGATCAGGAGAACGTAGTCGCTTCCCTTAGTGAGGCGGTACATGCCTTGGTCGTGAGGTAGTTGACTAAAGCCGATGCGGATGAGACGGGCGTGCAGGTACTGCTGCCACAGTCGCGGTGCCTGCTTGATCCCGTAGAGCGACTTAAGTAGTTGACAGATTCGGTTGGGTTCGCCGTGGGAACCGTGCGGGAGCTCGACGTAGATTTCTGCATCCACAGGTGCGTAGAGGAAGGCATTCGCGACGTCGATCTGCCGTAACTTCTTCTTCTTCATGGCGGCAATGGCGAGGAGAATTCGGAGTGACGTGTGGCGGCTGACTGGAGCAAAGGTCTCGGTGAAGTCTCGTCCTTGCTCTTGGTCGAATCCACGTACGACCCAGCGTGCTTTGAATTTTTCGATCGTGCCGTCTGCTTTCGTCTTGATGCGGAAGACCCATTTCCCGGTAAGGATGGTTTTGTTCCGTGCCACGCTTACGGGAACAACCTTCCAAGTGTTGCGTTCCTCTAATGCCTTCAGTTCTCTATCCATGGCTTCACGCCATTTCTCCCTGTGTTCCCCCCCCAGAGCCTGCTGAACCGTTGCAGGCTCCTTAGGAAGCGAGCTGCGTGTGTTCCCGTGGACTGCGGTGACGAGGCCGAGGATTTGCAGCCCAGTCTGTGAGTATCGAGGGAGTTCTGGATCCTCGGGATAAGCTGCTTCGTCTCCCGTTTCTGGGTCGGGCATGAAATTTGGCCCTACCCTTTCTGCTTCGTTGGTGTTGACTGTCACAGGTGTTACGTAACCATCGTCGGCGAAACGGTAGAAGATTTCGGCGTTGTTACTGTCGCGAGGATTATCCTCATCCATGGGCACGTCGACGGAGCAGTATGGGAGAGGTCCGGCTTCTTCTGAGGCGTTGTCGACGTTCTGTTCATCCCAGTCTGCTTCGTCCGCTGCTGACGCGAAGGCTCGGTCACCACGAAAACCACTGGTGAGGTCCCGATTCTCGTGCAAGTTGGCGAGGTACGTCTGAAGGGTGAGTCTTTCGTAGAAGATCACGTCACGTGCTGCTACTGTTTCCTTTGTGTGGACGTCGAAGATTTTCCATGCGTTGTAATTTTTCTCGATGCCGAGGTGTAGTCCCCACTGTGCCCGTTGCGAAAATCTTCCCGCTCGTGCTTCTGGGGGTCTGTACTGTACCATGCACCCGAAAACTCGTAACATTTTCGTGCTGCCCTGCTTCCCTGTCCACAGCAGATGCGGTGATGCGTTGTTCGGGAGTGACGACGACGACAACAAGTTGTGTAGCATGACAGCGTGGTCCATTGCTGCTGGCCACTGGTGGTTGGGTAGCCGCATGCCACGTAATAGTTTGCGCATGCTGTTCTGCAGGGTCCTGTTCAGTCGTTCTGCAACACCTTGCTGCTGATGTGCGTAAGGAAGGGAGAGGAGTTGCTTGATCCCCCTTTCCGCCAAGAACTGCTTGAAGCGGTGAGAGGTGTACTCGCCACCTCCGTCTGACTGGAATTTTTTCAGTTGTGTTCCAGACTCTCTCTCTGCTATCGGTAGCCAGGCGGCGAATGCTGCGAGCGCCATGTCGCGGCTGGGTAGGTTGCGATGCCAGACGTATCGAGTGGCGGCGTCGATGAAGGTGATGGTGTAGTTGTAGTTGACTTGTCCTGGCTCGCGATTGTAGAGGATGTCGCTGTAGACTTTTTCGAGTGGTGCGTACGCTGTAGCGCTCGGGTTGTGATGTGAAGCAAACGGTCGATGAGGTAAGTCAGCTTCGGGACATATAAGGCAAGTCCCTCGTGCCTTCTGGAGTTCTCTGCCATCGGGTAGAAGTAGAGAATCTTTGTCAAGGACTCCTGCTCTTATCGTGTTATTCAAAACCGTGTTACTTGGATGTCCTGTTCGTGCGTGCCAGATCTCTTCAGAGGCACGGTGTCCAGGTGAACGCTGATATGCGTCGGAGTTGGAGTAAAAGCTGGCGACGAGGTTGGCGCTTCGGTGGACTTCACGTTGAGTCGGATTCAGCTGTTTCGCGGGTGTTGGTGGTGCTTCGTCGACTGTGACTGGTGTCGTTGTTCCTGCTGCTGCTGATGTTGTTGCTGCTGCCGATGTTGTTACTGCTGCTGATGTTGTTGCTGCTGCCGATGTTGTTACTGCTGCTGATGTTGTTGCTGCTGCCGATGTTGTTACTGCTGCCGATTGTCGAATTGTTGCTAATGCTCGTGTTCGTTCTGCTTCAGGAATGGTGTGCGAGTACCAGAAGCCTCCTGGGCTGAAGTCGGGGTCGAGATCCGGAGGGTGTGTCCAGTCAGTGAAATTCACGATGGCGTCGCTGTCTGCAGTGCCCAGGTCAGGAACGAAGTCGAGGACGAAGACGTTGTTCTTCAGCACTGCTTTCCCGATGTAGAGACCGCCTCTCCCGTGGTAAAGTTTGAACTCCTGGGTCGTGCTGTCGGCTTCCAGATGAATTCCTTTCGCCATCAACTGGCTAACGCTCAGTAAGTTGTAGCCGAGTCCTTCAGCGATGAGTACCTTAGACATGTGCAGTATGACATTTGTTTCTCTTGACTGAAGCTGTACCACTCCTTGTCTTCGTGTGCGCAGGTTTTGGTTGTTGGCAACCGTGATGATCACTTCCCGTTGGAGTCGATGTTCGCGTTGTACGAAACGCCCGGACGAGCACATGTGTTGCCCGCAGCAACTGTCCAAGAACCAGGTGTCTTGGCCGGACGGTTCACTTTGAGCGATGGCGGCGTACGTTGGATTCGGCTGGAGTAGCTCACGGCGAGGCGTTCTGTTGTCAAGCTCTTCTTCCGGTGAGTAGTGTGGTGGTGATTCGGTTGTACATGAATCGGTTATCTTCGTCATGCAGTTGATTATATTTCTTGCTCCTTGTGCAGGTTGTCCGGGTGAAGTCGTTGAAGCTTGAATAGTGGTCGTCGCACTTGCTTGTGTTGAAGCCATTTGGGAGCTTGAAGGTCGAAGTTGTCGCTGTGGTGCCGTTGATTGCTGACGATTCGGGCAGTGTGTGCGCGGGTGCCCTGAAGTCTTGCAGATGTGGCAGAAGGGAGGTACTATCTTCGGTTGCTGCTGTCGGTTGTTATAATTGCTGTGTCGTCGTTGAGTGTGGAATGCGAACTCTGATACTGTCGTTTTCTTCCTGTGTCGTTCTTCCTGCAGGTCCATATCTTGCTGCTCGGCATGTATTTCGGCGCAGAGTGCAGCTTCAGAGATTCTTCCGTGGGCTCGAAGAATGGCTTTGGTGGCGCGCCACTGAGGACCAAGCCCACCAATGATGACTGTCACGAAGGCGTCTTCAGAGATTGACCCTCCGCATCGAAGCAGCTTGTCGCGCAGTTCGCGACATCGGCTGATATACGCCAGTCCCTTTTCTCCTGGTTTCATTTCGACTGTCGTCAACTGCGCCATTAACCTGCTCTGGTTTACACTGTCTGTTGCTTGATACAGGTTCTTCAGATGGCTGTACGCGAGCTCCGCCGAGTTGCCGAAGGTCCGGTAAGAGCGAATGTTCTGCTGCTGAGTTGGTGTCACGTTCCTCAATAGGATTGTATACGCCATCATTGATTGATACGTATACTGCTGCTTTTCATATTGTGTCCCGTTGGCTGGATACTGCAGGGACCCGTCGAAGAAGCCGAGTATCTGCGCGCCCTCCATCATCAGCTCGAATTCAAAGGACCAGGTAAAGAAGTCTTTGCCGTCGAAGGGTCTTGACGTTTGCAGTTTTAAGACGTGTGCAAACTGCGACTGAACTTGAAGTGCGTCCAGTGGTCTTTCTTGTCCAGGTGAAGGTTGCGGGTGGGGCACGAAGCTGATTGACCCGCGCTCGTACGGAGCAAAGGTAGGTTGCTGCTGCTGGTTTCCTCGCGCATATGACGACCCATCAAGACTCATGGGTGTCGCTCCGTTGTTGCTGTTGTGTGTTTGTGCAGGTCCCGACTGCTGGTGTTGTTCGTAGAAGGACATGAAGGAGAAAAATTTCTCCATCATGTTCTTGTCAAAGTCCGAAGGGTGGTTCATGGGGGTCTCGGTTGACGTTCCTCTTGGTCTTGTTGCCGTGCCTTCTTCTGTCTGCAGGCCAGAGGCTGACGGTGGAGTAGGAGTAGTGCCCGAGGAGCCATTAGGGGAGCTCCTTTCCTTGTTTGTTGCCATGTCTTGTAATGATATTGAAAAAGAGTAGAATTTCCCTTGTCTGCTCTCATACCATGTTGGGCTGAGATAGCCCCTTAGGATCTTTGCAAGGGATAACTCTAGGTGAAGTAGTTGTAACAGCGGAAGCGTTTAGTGAAGAATTTGAACCGACCTTGCACTGGTGTGTGAGAGCAAAGTTGATTGAATTAAACAAGCAAATACAAGGATTTATATAAGAGTACAAGGAATAGATAGATAACTGTATTGCTGTTGCGGTTCGATATAGCGCGACTCGGGCAACTGCTCTGTAACGAGTCAGTTGTGTGTCCTTAACTGTCGCGCTGTAATTGTCGAGTCAAAGGTCAGCGACCTTTGACTTTCTCGTAACCTCCAGGCGGTTACCCTAACCTCCGAGGTTGACTCGATGCTTCGATTGGGACTGCTTCGCTTGGTACCTTGGATTTTGATACGACAGAAGCGCACTTAGGACTTATTGTTTCCAACACCACCGTGGGCGTTCTACACATGCAGGCATTGGTGCGCAGGGCTTCAGATTCGTTTTGGGCCACCCTTAGTAATCAGGGTTCTAGGTATAGTCAACCCTGATGCGTAGGGTAAATTTTTTGTTTCCCTGACAAATGCAGGGTAAAAAAACAGTTAGTCTGTTTGGGCAGGGTATTCTTGAAAACTTGTGATTATGTGAAGTCCCGAAACACTCAAGATCAGTGGCTAGTAGTTAAGCTGGTCAATTGCGCATTAGATCTGTAAAGTCGTAAGTTTAAATCTCGCTAGTGGTATCGTTTTGCAGGGACCTGTATAGTGTTTCGTCTCGCTACGGAGCACTTAGTACCAGTATAGCTTGGATTGTACACTGTACAGTCGGAGTAATGTGTTCCTTATGCTGTTTTTCAAAGGGTATTGAAAAACTTACACTTTCTGGCCTAGGGTAAAAAATCCACTACCCTGCCTGTGAAAGGGTAACTGAAAAAAAGCGGCCGCCAGTCAGTGCAAAAAGGGTATTTTACCCTGATAACGAGAGGCCTGTTGGTGCGGCAGCCAACTGTAAAGGGAGTTGTTCCTGGAGTTGTTATCGGTGTTGTTATGCGCAGGGGTCGAGGGCGATGGCACCTGTGCAGGTGAGTGCTGCCTATAATCCCAGGCGACAGTGCTGTACTGTAGTGAGGGCTTCGCCCTGGGAATGGACGGGAAACCGGGAGTTGGGATGGGAGGGGTCAAGAGGAGAGGTGGGGTGGTGTATGGTGGGGTGGGGTGGGGTGCTACAGTGTCTAGCGTGTGGGGAGTTGCCCTGGGCAAATGGAGGCCACATCAAATGGCTAGAGGGGCTGGCTCGAGGAGCAATGAGCAGATGCACCAAACCATGGGTTGTTGAGGAAGGAGAGGATGGGTTGGAATGGAATAGGGTGGGGGAAACAGAATTACCCCTTGGGGGCAACATAGAATTTCTACTGGGGACAGGACAGAATTACCCTTAGGGCCAAAACTGAACTTGCCCGAGATTTAGAATCTCGCATGGAGGGACTGAGAATTTTCTAGGGTTGGAAAGAGAATGGCCTGGGGTTGAAAATCAAAATCTGGTCGGTTGGGATGGGAAAACAGGAGGGACGGAGTGGTGACGAGGAGAGGAGAGAGGGAAAGTCTTCAGGTGCGGGAAACAGAGTCCCCCCGTAAGGGCAGGTGAGAAATTTCTACTTCTGGCAAAACAGAAGTACCCCTGGGGGCAAAACAGAACTACCCCTGGGGCAAAATCCGACTTCCCAAACACGGCAAAGCGTAGCCCCTCCAGTGGCGAGGGGTTGTCGTCCTGGTGGGGGCAGAGGAGGTGCCCATGGGACGGCTGGGGACTGAGGTATGAACAGAGGGGTGGTGGCAGGTTAACGGCAGAGCATGAACCAGTCATGAAGGGCAACACGCACGCGCTGCACCTAGCCTCTCCACCGCTGCTTACCTCTACCTCTGCAGCAGCAGCATCCACTTGAAGAAACGCTGCACACCGTCCGTTGGCTCTCCGTCAACGTAGCTGCCCATGGAAGAGGGAGGGGAGGGGAGGAGGTGCGCAATGGGGGAAAGGTATGAGCACATGGGGAATGGCATGGGCAAGGGGGAAAGGCATGGGCAAGGGGGAACGGCATGGGCAAGAGGGAAAGGCATGGGCAAGGGGGAAAGGCATGGGCAAGGGGGAAAGGCATGGACAAGGGGGAAAGGCATGGGCAAGGGGGAAAGGCACGGGCAAGGGGGAAAGGCATGGGCAAGGGGGGAAGGCATGGGCAAGGGGGAAAGGCATGGGCAAGGGGGCAAGGGGGAAAGGGACGGGCAATGGGGAAAGGTCTGGGCAAGGGGGAAAGGCATGGGCAAGGGGGAAAGGCATGGGCAAGGCGGAAAGGCATGGGCAAGGGGGAAAGGCATGGGCAAGGGGGAAAGGGACGGGCAATGGGGAAAGGCATGGGCAAGGGGGAAAGCCATGGGCAAGGCAAAAAGGTATGGGCAAGGCGGATAGGCATGGGCAAAGGGGGAAAGGGATGGGCAATGGGGAAAGGCATAGGCAAGGGGGGAAAGGCATGGGCAAGGGGAGAAGGCATGGGCAACGGGGAAAGGGTCGGGCAATGGGGAAAGGCATGGGCAAGGCGGAAAGGTATGGGCAAGGCGGATAGGCATGGGCAAAGGGGGAAAGGCACGGGTAATGGGGAAAGGCATGGGCAAGGGGGGAAAGGCATGGGCAAGGGGGAAAGGCAAGGGCAAGGCGGATAGGCATGGGCAAGGGGGAAAGGCATGGGCAAGGCGGATAGGCATGGGCAAGGCGGATAGGCATGGGCAAGGCGGATAGACATGGGCAAGGCGGATAGGCATGGGCAAGGCGGATAGGCATGGGCAAGGCGGATAGGCATGGGCAAGGCGGATAGGCATGGGCAAGGCGGATAGGCATGGGCAAGGCGGATAGGCATGGGCAAGGCGGATAGGCATGGGCAAGGCAGATAGGCATGGGCAAGGCGGATAGGCATGGGCAAAGGGGGAATTGCACGCTCACCAACTCCGCGTGCAGCATGCTCGCCCGTGTTGTCCGCGCGGCCAGCAGAGCGCGCGGCGCTGCCTGGTGAGCGGGGGGGGCGCTGACCCGGTGGGGGGAGCGGCGTGTGGGCGCTGTGACGTTGGAGCCTGTCGTTCATGCACAGGGAGGAGAGGGAGGGGCAGAGGGGAGAGCGGAGGAAGAGACGGAGGGAGAGAGCAACGCGGATCCAGGAAAGGCGAGAGGGGTGGAGGCGCATGCAGTTGTAGAGCGCGCGGACTGCAGTCTTCCGCAGTCGCATGGCGCACATGCAGTCGCATGGCGCACATGCAGTCGCATGGCGCACATGCAGTCGCATTGCGGCCATGCAGTCGCATAGCGCACATGCAGGCGGCATAGCGCACATGCAGTCTAGGTGCGCGCTCGTGAATTCACAGCGCGCACACATGCAGTGAGAGACGAGCCCGCACCAAACACGACGGCGGATGAGAGACGAGCGCGGATTGTGGGCCAGTATGGATGAGAGATGAGCGCGGATGCGCGAGGTGCGCGGATGAGATTTCGAGAGCGGATGAGCGACAAGCGCGTCCCGCATTTCGCGCGCGGATGAGCGACGAGCGCGTATGAGATTTCGAGCGCGGACGAGCCGTGAGCGCGGGTTCCCAAAGTCTTAGAATCTAGGCATCAATGAAGTTGACTATTGAGAGAATTGGTACAAGGAGAAAACCTGAAGGGGTTATACCCCACAGTATCTACCCCACTACAGCTTACCCACAAATAAAACATATGCATATCTTTGACACACCCCCATAGGCAAAGTGGGGGAGAGCAAGAGATCACAAGACCAGTCAAGAAAAGCAAAGCAAGCTCAGGGTGGATCACAACGTCACCACACACACTGAGCACAAGCTCTCAGACTAATATATAATTCTATATATTGTTGTATAACTGCTTGTAGTGTAGAATACTGTAGTCATATAACTTTCTAGTTGGTGGTGCACCTTGCATGCTCTGTTTGCTATATGTACTCTTGTGCTATAGTGAACATCATTCCCCTCTCAACTTTCTCGACACTTCTCCTTACCCTCGAACTCGATCACTAAGCTACCATAGCCATGGCTCCTAAGCCCACCTACTCTTAGCCTATCTCAACATGGAATCGGAGCGACTACTCTCTTGGCCTGTGGGCCCCACATGCTTCCGCTGCTTTCCTGTCTGTCGCGCGCCCCGTGGCGCGCGACACCTTTTTTTTCCCGCCACGCGCTCGGGACGCGTGGCGGTTTTCCGCCCACCGTGCGCCCCGAGCGCGCGGCGTCTTCCTGCCCCGTCGCCGCCCTTCTCGGCCCCTCACGGCCTCTTCGCGGCCCCGTCGTTGCTCCTCTCACGGCCCCTCGCGCCACCCTTAGCGGCCCCGCCGCCACACCTCGCGGCCCTGTCGCCGCCCCTATCGGCCCTGTCGCCACTCCTAGCGGCCCCGTCGCTGCCCCTAGCGGCCCCGTCGCCGCCCTTCTTGGCCCCTCGCGGCCCCTTCGCGGCCCTGTCACCGCCCCTTCTCGGCCCCGTCGCCGCCCTTAGCGGCCCCGTTGCCGCCCCTAGCGGCCCCGCCGCCGCCCTTCTCGGCCCAGTCGCCGCCCCTCGCGGCTCCGTTGCCGCCCCTAGTGGCCCCGTCACCTGCTCGTCGCCCCCCCCCCCCCCCCTGGCTGCCGCCTCTGCCTCCCCTGTGCCCGCGCCTGCTTTGCAACAGCGCGTGGGCCTGCCTTGCAACTGCAGCCGCCCCTGGAGCAGCCGCCACTGCAGCAGCCGTCCCTGGAGCAGCCGCCACTACAGCAGCCGCCCCTGGAGCAGCCGCCATTGCAGCAGCCGCTCCTGGAGCAGCCGCCCCTGGACCAGCCGCCCCTTGAGCAGCCGCCACTGCAGCAGCCGCCCCTGGAGCAGCCGCCCCTGCAGCAGCCGCCCCTGGCCTCTGGAGCAGCTGCCACTGCAGCAGCCGCCCCTGGAGCAGCCGCCCCTGCAGCAGCCGCCCTTGGAGCAGCCTCCCCTGCAGCAGCCGCCCCTGGCCTCTGGAGCAGCCGCCCCTGGCCCCTGGAGCAGCCGCCCCTGCAGCAGCCGCCCCTGGCCACTGGAGCAGCCGCCAGTGCAGGAACCGCCCCTGGCCCTTGGAGCAGCCGCCCCTGGAGTAGCCGCCCCTGGAGCAGCCGCCACTGCAGCAGCCGCTCCTGGACCCGGTGCAGCCGTGGGGGGGTGGGTATGGGGGTGGCGGGTGTGGGGGTGATGGGTATGGGGGTGGCGGATGTGGGGGTGATGAGTGTGGGACAGGTGGGGGAGGTTGAGTGGAGGTGGCCGCCGTGTCGTCAGCAGCACCAGTAGTACGGGGCGTTGCTCCGGTAGCCTAGTCGTAGCCAGCTGCGCCAGTCTCCCGTGGGTCCGTTGCTCCTGCCGCTCGTCTTAGCCGCGGAGCCAGTTACTCCAGTAGTTCGGGGCGCTGTTCCGGTAGCCGCTGTGCCAGTGTGACTCCTGTTGCCCGTGTGTCTGCAGCTTCAGCCGTCGCCTCCCATCTCCTCACTTCCTCTCTTCTTCTCCTGCGCTTGGTGTACCCCTTCAGGGGGCGTTGACTGCACATTCTTCCCTACAGGCACTTATGGGGGCGTGTCAGACTAATATATAATTCTATATATTGTTCTATAACTGCCTGTAGTGTAGAATACTGTAGTCATATAACTTTCTAGTTGGTGGTGCACCTTGCATGCTCTGTTTGCTATATGTACACTTGTGCTATAGTGAACATCATTCCCCTCTCAACTTTCTCGACACTTCTCCTTACCCTCGAACTCGATCACTAAGGTACCATAGCCATGGCTCCTAAGCCCACCTACTCTTAGCCTATCTCAACACAAGCAAAAGGCCACAAGGCCAGTTCACATGCAGAGGTATATATGCAACAAGAACAGTACAGTGATCTCTACCTAGCAAGAGCAAGCATACAGGTGTATATATATAGATCAGAATACAAGCAGAGTCTACAGCAAGTGTGGAAACGTAGGCACAAGGCCCAACAAAGTACAAAAGCGCTGATGATCACCAGACGGAAGTGCCTTGGTGAATATATCAGCAGTGTTGGCCCGACTGGCCACGTGAGCAAGATGAAGCTGACCCCGCTGCTGCAACTCTCGAGCCAGGAAGTAACGCAGAGCGATGTGCTTCCTTCTGTGCTCCAGTCTGTGCTCCTGTCACAAGGCAATGGATGTCTTGTTGTCGACGTACAGAATTGGAGGAGAACGAGGCCTCTCTCCCAAGTTGGTCAGCAGGTAGGTGAGCCAGCGTAACTCCTGTGCAGCCATGGCTGTGGCGTAGATCTCAGCCTCACAACTGGAGCCAAGAACAGAAGACGAGCGAGTAGACCACCAAGAAACAGAGCCAGAGCCAAGACTGAAGGTGTAACCCTTTGACGACCGCTGCGTAGCCTGGTCGTCAACCCAAGAAGCGTCCGAGTGACTAGTGAGGAAAACGTCGCCCCGTCCTCCAAGCACGAGCCCCATGCCTGATGTACTGCACAAGTAGCGCAGTACCCTCTCAGCAGCATCCATGTGCACCTTTCGGAGCCACGCAGCGAGCCAGAAGGCCAAGAGGGTACGCAAGGTCAGGACGAGTGCAGATCATCAGGTACATGAGGCAGCCAACTAGCTCTGGGTAAAGGACCACTCGGCTCTACGGACTCGTCCGAAGGTGGAGCTGAGAGCGAGTGACCTGTAGCCAGAGGAGTGGCCTGTGGCGAGGACTAGGTGAAGCCGAAGCGCTGAAGGACCTGCTGCACCATGTGTGACTGAGTCAGTGTGATGGTGCGGCGTGCTCTGTCCCGGGTGATCTGCAAGCCAAGGTAACTGCGCAGCTCACCCAGGTCTGTGCACGTGTGTCTCTTCTGCAGCTCTGACTTCACCAGGGCGAGAACCTCAGTGTCAGCAGTGGCAAAGACCAAGTTGTCGACGTACAGGAGGATGTAGAACGGCGGCAGCGAAGTGTCGGTGCGCAGAAACAACTACGGGTCAGCAGTAGAAGGCGCGAAACCAAGAGCCGCAAGAGTAGTCCTCAGTGTGTCGTGCCACTCACGTGGCGCCTGGCGGAGACCGTAGACTGGCCGTCGGAGGCTCCACTGGGTACCAAGAGGGAACGACCCAGTGAAGCCAGGTGGGCGGCGCAGCCAGATCGCCTCGTGCAGGCTGCCATGTAAGAAAGCAGTGCTGAAGTCAAGAGAGTGAAGCTCGTAGTCATGCTGAGCGGCAACATGCAGCAGCACCCGAAGCATGGTCATCTTCGGGGTGGGGGAGAAGGTCAAGAAGAAGTCGACTCCCTCTCGCTGACTGAAGCCTCGAGCAACGAAACGAGCCTTCAAGACAGACGGAGAACCTGGCGGCCGCTTCTCCCTGAAAATCCACATGCCATCGACGATGTTCGCCCCAAGAGGGGGAACCTCATCAACGTAGGTGCCTGTGAACTTCCAGGATGCCATCTCTACGTCCTTGGCTGTCTGCCACTGAGAAGAGTACTCACCCGCGATCGCCTCACCGTAAGAGCGCTGGGTCGGGATGTCTGGTGCATCCGGGTCTCCCTCAGGGGCAAGCAGCATGTCCATGACATGAGGCGCAGCGGCCGCAAGACACTCAAGGTCCTCGTGCCTGTCCTCAAGGACGTCCGTGCTAAGAGCACACTCGCCCCCGATGAACGGAGGACAGACGGACTCAGACTCAGCAACAAGACTAGCAGCGTAGTCTAGACGACCGGCAGCAGTTAAGTCAACATGCTTAGCGACTAGGGCAGACGCAGTAGTGGACTCAAACGACGGGTCAGTGACTACAGTGGCTAACAGACGCGTGACAGTAGGGTGCTCAGTACGAAACTGGTCAAACTCATGGTCCGCAACATCAGGCAGAGAGGACGTAGGGGGACAAGGCAGAGGAACACGTTGCGGAGGAGAGGAATGACGACGGACTACAAGGTGGGTGCCGGGGACAGCCGGCTGATGCGGACGAGGAACACGACGACCGGAACGACCAGAATGGACAGGCGAGACAGGACGCGACACAGGCTCACGACGCTCAGCAAGGCCCCCTGTCTGCTCAGTGTAAGGAGAAGGAGCAAGCAGCGGCGAGCCATGCTGTAACGGAAGACCAGTAGACAAAGGGAGAGTGAGAACCTGGCGAAGCGCAGAGTCAGGCGGTGGCTTAGACGACGGAGAGGGCGGAGCGAAGAACTGGCGCGGCTATGCAGTGCCACCAGCACTAGCAGCTCCAGCACCTAGAGCAGCTCCAGTACCCTCAGCAGCTCCAGCACCTCCAGCAGCTCCAGAACCCGCAGGAGCTCCAGCACCTCCAGCAGCTCCAGCACCTTTAGCGCTAGCTCCTCCAGGACCAGCTCCACCAGCTGCAACACCCCCAGAACCGGCACCGCCAAGCCCAGGGTCTCCAGCCCCAGTGCCTCCAGTAGCAGCACCCCCAGACCCAGGGTCTCTAGCAGTAGCACCCTCAGAGACAGTACCTCCAGCCCCAGCAGCTCCAGTACTTCTATTACGAGCACCTCCGGGACCAGCGACTCCAGCACCTC